GAATAATTAAAGGATATTATTGTAAAAGTCAATGACAAAAAGATTATTGTGAGCTTTTGGTTCGTTGTTAGTCTTGCGGTATATGCCGCATTAAACTTACCACAATGGTACCGAATGACTCTAAAAATTGGAAATATGCCAGCCTTTGACGACAGGACATCGAATTATTGGTTTTCAGTCTTGTCTGCCCGATAGTTATTCAAAGAGACAAATAAAAACGATTTGCCTTTGCTGTGTCGACTAACGTTTGGTAAGTATACCGCATAATTCAAACTCAGAAAACATCAGAAAATTTACCTTATCTGAGTTAAAAATTATATCGAGCTCGCAGACGTTCTCAAATGTTTTGTCCAGTAGATCCACAAAAACTTGAATAAGATCCAAAATCCCCAATTCGCTTTCAGCAGCATCAACACAAAAAACCACGTAAATTGTGGCGTATTGTCGATAAATAAGCCGAGAACATTTTTTGTTACTAAAAATGGATGAAAATATATTTCGTTACTTTTTGATCTCTAGAAAGTTGCAGGAATCGCAGGAGCGTCTAGTCAATTTACGGAAGGTTTCTGCCAGAAATTCCTGCTCGTAAGTCTCGTCCTAGAAACCAAACATCTATAGACAATAGTTCTATTTACAGTCTTCTCAAAAAACTTCATGAGTCTCGGCTTTCCATTGGTATTGAATATCAGAACAGCCCATATCATTGGGATGCACCAGTGAAAGCGTGGGCTCTTGCGAAACGCCAGTCCATCCGTCTTATCCGCCCAAATATTTGGAAAGGTCGGAGGTTCGGACCTGCAGTGCCAAAATGAGTTTAAGCCTACAAACCCGACATATGACTAATCGCAGTTCTATGGTGATTGCATATTGTTTATCTTACCCTTTTTCTAATATTGTAGATTGTCTCGGTTTACCTGATGCTTCTGACATTAGTAAAATCAAAAAAATCAAAAAAAATGTATGCTAAGTTTTTCTATCAAGATAGATCCTGCATTTCTCATAGTGAGAAATTTAAATTGGCGAAAATTCCGCCTTCATGGGTTAGAAGACTCAAAGTCTGCTTTTACTTCCTGTCGCATATTAACTCTGGCCCTAATCCTCCACATATTAACGTTCTCGTTCCAGTAAATCAGTCTTATGTTACACGTATTTCTTCCAGAACTATTCCACCACTTAAATGTCCCACATCTAAATATTCACCTTTTAGACTTGACATTTCCTTTGTCCGAACTTAACTTATCGGTAATTCAAGTAAAATCGTGTAAGCACTTTAGTATGGTAGGTATAAATTCGAAGAAATAGATGCAATCCCTTGGACAAGATCTCTTTTCGCCCGTGCATTCGAATTCATGCAAGATCCCACCATTAGGGAAAGCATTAGATGCGGGTAATTTGAACAGAGGAAGCTACTGTATTTGTAGTATGTAGCTGCTTTGCTACTGCATAGCAATGTCAGTTAACTCCCCTAATTCGAGAATGATAGCACCCTAGTGTGATACTTGAACGACGGCAAGCAACCGAGTCGTTGAGCGATGAAAGTTCATCATACGTTGCTACATATGATCTCTTGTTGCCCCACTTCCATCCATTTAACAGTAACATGGCTATTTGCCTCCTTGTAACACTTGA